ATGAATGCTTGGTTTTCCTTCACCTCTATTTTCTGTTGGCCACCCTGCTAATTTTAACCGTCGGTTAATCTAATCGGACTTTGTGAAATTGGCCCTTGGTGAAATTGGCCCTTAATCTAACCGGACTTGGTGAAATTGGCCCTCAGGGTGCCGTGTAAAGGCTGGTTTTTTGTTCATAATGGCATTATGAACAAAAGCATTGTAATCCTAGTGTCCGGCACTAACGGTTCCGGCATAAATTAACAGTTACGGCCTGCATAAACCAGCCTTAACGCGGAACGAGAAGGGAACCAATCGCGAGCGTAACAAAAACTGCAGAATGCTCGCGATTGGTTTCACTTTCGTTCCGCGTTACGCTAATCCGCGTTTCCGCGCTCCATGTAATGGCACCCTTAAAGTAACCGCCGGTCAGTTCTAGAAAGTTACTACTGCGCAACTAGGTAGTTCTAAATAAAGTCTTCTGATTGGTCGGTCCAAGGAATCCTGAATTCTTTGCGCAATTGATTATTATTATAAAAAGAATTAAAATGTAGTTAATTTCTAAGTTAAATAATCATATGGAACTAGAACTATAAGCAATTAATGAAATTGATTAATAACTGAAATAAAAACAAATGGGTTAAATAATTGTTCTATATTCCATAAGTATAATGTAAGAATAGAAGCGGTACTTAATTATTAGTTAAAATATGGTTTCGTTAAATGGCGGGACGTCACAGATCTAACCGGGCTTGGTGAAATTGGCTCTAAAAATTAGGATTGACGTGTAAACGTAGTCTGTGTTTCGGACGTGGCCTGGTACAGGGGTACAGGCATAGACATAGTATATCTAGACCATAGACATAGTATATCTAGACCATAGACATAGTATATCTAGAGGAGTGGGGGCCGATGCCCACGTAGAAAAGGACATACTCTGTTTCGTGCCCCTTGCGTTCTCTCTCACTCGCACATAGCATAGCGCTCTCTTTCGTCATGCTACGTGCGAGCGAGATAGAACGCAAGGGGCACGAAACAGAGTATGTCCTTTTCTACGTGGGCATCGGCCCCCACTCCTTAAATAAAGGCAAACGCTCGGTCTAGATATACTATGGCCGGTATTCATAGTCCGTTCTTATATCCAAGATCGTCTTAAGTGTGGTCTTGGGTCGTCTTAAGATCCCATTCAACCAATGAAATGGCCGCATAGTATCTTAAGATCGTACTTAAGACGATCTTAAATAAAAGAACGGACTATGAATACCGGCCATAGTCCGTTCTTATATCCAAGATCGTCTTAAGTGTGGTCTTGGGTCGTCTTAAGATCCCATTCAACCAATGAAATGGCCGCATAGTATCTTAAGATCGTACTTAAGACGATCTTAAATAAAAGAACGGACTATGAATACCGGCCATAGTGAAAAGGACATACTCTGTTTCGTGACCCTTGCGTTCTCTCTCTTTCGCACATAGCATGACGAAAGAGAGCGCTATGCTCTGTGCGAGCGAGAGAGAACGCAAGGGGCACGAAACAGAGTATGTCCTTTTCTACGTGGGCATCGGCCCCCACTCCCCAACACTCGGTCTAGATATACTATGTCTATGGTCTAGATCAGTGCATGCCACGATCTGCACATTTCGGCCGATTTCCGAGAGTCAACGCCTATCGCGCCCCCCTTGCGTCTTGAGATCCTCGTCTAGCAACCGTAATGCCCGTATCAGACTACGCATTGAAGATTGAGATTCAAGATTCAAGATTGAAATTTGACCAATAATCGAAGATTGAAGATTAAAGATTGGAATCAGAACAAAAGGGATTAAAATTTCTTTATTCTAATTGGTCAAATTTCAATCTTGAATCTTGAATCTCAATCTTCAATGCGTAGTCTGATACGGGCTTAAAGGTGCCATTACATGGCAGCATCGAGCATCGAGCGTCTGCGCAGAAATCATTGCGCAGGAATCTGAATGAAATAGATTCCACCTTCTTGCGGCTAATAGCATGATGAGTGATGTGAATTCGGTCGAGATAAAAAAAATTATGTTCTGAAACACATTACTAATACTGAAAATTGATATTTATTTACATTATACACAATAGATATTATTATTATTAAACAAAATATGTATAAAACGTTACTATCCCCCAGCAAAATATTAAAATCTAATCAACCCATACAGCACAGAACGTTGCAGCAACATCGCAACATTGTAGTAACATTGCTGCAACGTTCTGTGCTGTATGGGAAGGATTATGGGATATAAGTTTCATTTTATTCCTG